CATAGTACATTAATAGATGGAGAAATTTCTGCTTTGTTAAATTTGTAAACTTTTCATTGTGGTCCTATACATTCATTGCAGCGTTTAAGTGTCTCCCATACATATTTTTTTAAATAATATAATAGTTTATTTTTACAGCATTTTGTGCCTTTTTCCATCTCAGTTGTAATCCCATCACCAAATCACCCCTGTGCCATCACCATAGTCCAGTGCACTCCCCTCCCCCCACCATTTTTGATCCCATTCCCCATTCCTCCCATACATATTTTATGTCCGGATGAATTAGTAATGAACAAAACCAACAAGATCACTACTTTTTAAGTTTAGTGAGAAGATTCAAATAATTGCAAATATATAATACCAAGTTTACTAGCCCTGAGAGCTATAAGGAAAAATAAAGTGGAGAAGACTAGAAAGAATGGTCAGGGGCAGTATTGTAGATTGGTCACAGGAGTGACGGTTTGAGATTTAAGCAGAAACCTTCACAGAGGAAAAAAGTAACAGGGAAGGAACCAGAAAGACTATGCAAAGTCCCTGGCAGTATATGGAAAGTTCTAAATAGTCTATTAGCAAAGGTGTTATTGGCAAGTAAAAAAAAAATTGTTATTTTTATTTATTTATATATTCACGAACCAGGGTGTAGGCCAGAGGTGCAAGGGTTGAGAGGATTCACCAGAGACAGAGTGGGGGGCAGAACAGGCAGATCTACTGAACACACTGCTAAGTGAAGCAGCAGGGAGACAGGTCAGCTGTACCCTGTGGGTTACTCCTTGGCCTGGGATCGAACTCATGCCACAGTGGTTGGCAATAGCTTGATAGGTGAGACTTTAACCAATACGTTAAAGTCTATCTAGGGAGGTTCTATCTATTATACTTTGAACTCATCTTTTAGTTTCCCTAGAATTTAGGGAGAGTTTGAGTTTTGTGAAGCGTTTCTTTTTTTATTGTTCTCCTATATTTTCAAAATGAGTCCTTTATCAAATATGTGGTTTGCCAATCAGTACAAATGTTTATAACTTCGACAAAGTCAACTTCATCAGTTGCAGGGGGATTATATTTTGTATTTATTTCCTCTCCAATATCCTTTGTATCTTCTCCCCTCCCCTCTCCCTCTTGACCTCAGAGCCCTCCAAATGTTTGCCAATGTTCACTAGTGTTTGAAAGTGTTTTTATGTTATCGAATTGCATGCTAAGTGAATGTCCAGTGTTTGTTTTTATCATTCGGACTCACTTTGCTGCATGTAATTCTCCCAGGTTCCCTCCATTCCCTTGAGAATGGCTGCATTTCATTCCTGCCCTGGCTAGATAATGCTCGCGGAACATACAGTGTTTGTTGTTGATGGTTTCAAATTCTGTGGCTATACAGCATTTCCATTTTTAGTGTCTGAAGGTAAGTTCAGATTGCTTCCCATAGGATTGCACCAGCTCACCCTCCCACCCACAGAAATAGGGTTCCTTTTTCCTCCATATTCTCTAATTGTAGCAGGGGGTATCTTTACTATGTGACATTCTCACTGGTGTAAGTGGTAGCTGCAGTCATAACAGTCCACTGACAAAGGAAAAGAGGGCGTCGTGGAGGAAGCTGTACAATGCAGAATGCTGCCCCAAAAGCAAGAGCCTGGCTTTTTATTGATAAGCTAATCATACAGCATCAATTATGTGGGGTAGCAGGACAAAGATCAAGGTGGGTGAGAACTGAAAAGGTGTTCATCTCCTGTAGGGCTGGGGGGTGAGTGTGCCATCGTGTGTTGACAGTCCAATATTCTATTGGAATTCATCCCCCAGGCCACCTGTGGTCCACTCATCAGTCTCTGGGATGCAAGGTCTTCCATCAGCTCCTTGGGTATTCCCGTCATGCATCATGATGTATCCCCTCTGTCTCAGGGTGATCAAGCTTTCTGCCTTTGATTTCAAATGCACCTGCTATACTACATTCTTTTAGGTCAGACAACTAATGGACTAGGCAGTTTTGACCTTGTGTCGGAGGGCAGAATGCACAGTACTAACATGATGGTCAAGCAAGCTGTTTAACTCTAGCAGCCGGTGATATCTCATTGTAACTCTGTAGTTGTTAATATTAGAGTTGTGTGGCAGGACAGACAGTGTCCAGTGCCCAGAAGGACACTGGATGTGCACGTGCTTTAAGCTTATCTGTTTAAGGGTGTCAAGAGATAAAGGTTTATGAGACATGCCTCTCTCCCCCTACTCTGCTTTTTCAGGACTCTCTCTGCACTTGTCCAAAAGAAGAATCTAGAGCAATCAGAGCAGCTCAGGTAGTTCTAAAAGCCATGGCCCAGGTAAGTTGAAAATTCCTCTGTCCTTAAAATAATCTGTCTTCCCTCCAGATCATAAGAACATTTGTAGCCTTTTTATTTTTTTAAGATTTATTTATGCATACAAGAGCTGGAGTGCAGGCCAGAGGTGTGGGGGTGGTGAGAGGATTTACCAGAGACAGAGTGGGGAGCAGAACAGGTGGATCTACTGAAATCCACTGCTGAGGGGAGCAGCGGGCAAGACAGGAGAGGTCTGCTGGGCCATGTGGGTCAGCTCCCTGGGCAGGGATAGAAGTCATGCTGCAGTGGCTGTAGTAGCTTCACCTTGAGCCACCAGGGCGGGCCCATTTGTTATCTTGATCCTGAAACTTCCCTTGTTGAGCCCCATTTGGTAACCTGCACCCAGTTTCTCCATTCCTAGGAATGGCGCCCCACCCCTTATCCCCAGGATTTTCACACATGTATGCAATACTCTTACCAGGCACCAAGAAAACAAAAAAATATATCTTCTTAACAGAATTGTGAGAGCCTTATCAAAACCATGACTGAATAGGGCCGAAGTAACTGTGATCTTTTTAAGTACCTTGGTTTCTTTTTTCTACTATTATATATCACCTGCCTCTTAAAATACCACAAAACATTTCATAATACCAAAAGATATATACAAAAAAACCCCAACACCATATGTGGTGTAAAGAAGAATAAAATAAGGGGTCTCCCTGGTGGCTAGGGGTTAAGTTTCAGCGCTATGGCTGCTATGGCCTGAGCTTGACCTCCAGCCAGGGAGCCGACCCAGACCCTCGGGGTGCAGCAGACCTCTCCTCTCTCCCGGCTGCTCCCTTCAGCAGTATACTTCAGTCCATCTACCTTTCTGCTCCCCACTCTGTCTCTGGTGAATCCTCTCCCCTCCTGCACCCCTGGCTTACACCCCAGTTCTTGTATGCATAAATAAATAAATCTTTAAAAAAATGAAAAGGAGGTGATGAAATAAAGTTTGTAAATTTGAAGACAAGAGGTGGATTAGGGCCTCCCTGGTGGTGTAAGGGGTTAAAGTACAACACTGTGAAGCTATTCACAGCAGCAAGAGTTCAATCCCCAGCCAGGGATCTCACCCACAAGGCACAGCAGACCTCTCCTGTCTAGCCCCTGCTCCCCTCAGCAGTGTATTTCAGTAGATCTCCCCGTTCTGCTCCCCATTCTGTCTCTGGTGAGTCCTCTCATTACTCCTGCAACATCTGGCCTGCACCCCAGTTCTCATATGCATAAATAAATCTTTTTTTAAAAAGAGGTAGATTAATGGGAGACACTATACTGTTCTGTAGAGTTTTTGTATTTTGAAAATCTTTTTTTTTTTTTTTTTAAGATTTATTTATTTGTGCACAGAACTGGAGTACAGGCCAGAGGCTCAGGGGCAGAGAGAGGCTTCACCAGAGACAGAGTGGGGAACAGAACAGGCAGATGGATGAAGTACACTGCTGAGGGGAGCAGCGGGCGGGTCAGGAGAGGTCTGCCACACCCTTTGGGTCACCTCCAGGGCAGGCGGGGATCGAACTCATGAGGAAGTGGCTTTTATTTCTTTGTGCTGCACTTTAACCCTTGCCACCAGGGAGGGCCTTGAAAATCTTTTAATAAAAAAACAAAAGTCCTTCAATTTATTACCAGCATGTGGGCTTACTGTTTCAGGGATTACTCACATTCAGGGATGTGGCCATAGAGTTTTCTCAGGAAGAATGGAAGTGCCTGGGACCTGCCCAGAAGGACTTGTATAAAGATGTGACTTTGGAGAACTTCGGGAACCTGGTCTCCCTAGGTAAGGACGTCACACAGAATAACCCCAACAGGAAGGAGGGGACACTGTCATCTGATGCTAGTGCCCAGGCCAGAGTCACCGAGAGGGGCCCATCTGGCAGCAACTAGAGCCACTTCTGGAACTCCAGAGACAAAAGAAAGGGGGGGAAGGAGCACATAGCCTGAACTTTCTCCTACCACTGAGCTGCTGATAGGTGCCATCTGCCAAGCTCAGAGAGTAACGACAGGGCCACCATGCATGTCCAGGTGAGGCATGTGGGACACAGTTCTGGCACAGAGCGGGGCGGGGAACAGCGAGGAATGGACTGGTAGAGAAGAGGGCAGTGCCGGGTAACCACGGTAATTACTTGCTCCAGATAGTTACGAACTAGTCTTCTAGAATTTCTAGTTTTTTTCATGGTGAGTTTCTAGGGAAGATTTCTGCTTTGTGAGCAAATTTCTGCTCATTGTTCCCAAGGGAGTTGCTGGTGCTTTGTGGCCATGGGGTGGGTAATCTTATCAGGGGCCCCTCTCCCCTTCTGGGGACAACCTTCGCTCCTGCCTCCTCCTAGCTGCCTCTCTTCCCTGGTGACCAGGGACTGGGTTTGCATTAGGGAGCAGCTCCGTCACGCCCCGTTTCTTACCCATAAACAGGACTCTCCATCTCAAAGCCTGATGTCATCTCCTTATTGGAGCAAGGGAAAGAGCCCTGGGTGACTGCAAATGATGAGACAGAACCAGGGTGCCCAGGTGAGAAGGCCTGACCCAGTGGGGGAGATCTGGGAATCACAGCCCTCCGGCGCGTCTGCGTGCAGCAGGCCTGCAGGCCTCTGGGCCTCAGGAAAGCTGGGGAATGAAGGCCTGGACGTGAAACAGAGCACAGGAGCTTGTCAGCAACAGCAGCGGCTCCCGCGCGCACCCTGCTGTCACCCTGCCAGTTTTTCTGTTCTTTCTTCTTTCCCATTTCAGAGACAGATGCACACAACCTTCCTCCCAGGGCTGCCTTTTCACCTGTTCTGTGGGTCCCTTTTTTCTGCAAGTTGCTTGAACCCTTAAAAGATATTTAAACCAAGTGCTTCTTGTTTAAAGAGCACTTCTTTTAAAGATTTTATTTTTTTTATTTGTACATACAGAACTGGGGTACAGGC